GGGGGGGCCTCGATATAAACCTTCTCCGGTGTAAACGGGCCCCTTCTAACCCGAGTGACTCTACGATGCTACGAAGTACTGCCCCTGTTTCGCCTTTTCATGAACGCTGCTACGTGACTTTCCGGCGCAGTCCCCCTTAGGGTGCGCTTTAAGTAAAAAAAGGAAAGGAAAATAGATGAAAAATCTGACCTAAGGCAGCGCTTCTGCAGGCCCAGGGTAACCTGTCAGGGTCACTGGTGAGTAACGGCCTGCCACGGTGTGTATCGGGCTAAGCGCAGCTCTAGCGCGACTGGAGCCTTACAAGCCAGTATTAATTGCTCTTGTAAACTTCCTAAGGACACTTTGTTCCCTTCCAGGGGCTTCAAGCCAGCGGTGATGGGGGAAGCTAAGTGCTCTCTGCCCAGATTTCCCAGTGTCCTGATCTTTCTGTGTGTTTGGAGAATAAACTATTTCTCAATACTGTAATAGGCCTTGCAGTATCAAAGATACGTATGTTCTTGCTTTCAAGTATGTGCCTAAGACTCAATGAAGTCATCAAGCGCTGCAGGTTAAGCGTGTTTTGAAGTGGAGCCCAGGGTTGTCTTCACCAGGTAGTAAGTACAGAATGTCATCGCAAATGAATAGCGTTAGGGATTTGTGTTTAAGGCCACTTAGCTTTTGATCTCAAGCTTGAGGAAGATGAGTCTTGTTAGCAGTACTGTGCAAGACCGACGTATTCTGAATGGAATATGGAAGCCTGCTTTTAAAACATTTGGCTTCCCATATCAAAACCCTTCTCTACACAGCGTAACAGAGTGGGACCCTGTCCTCTGCTGCTGTGAGTCATCATTGAAGTCCAAATAACAGGAGTGAACGGCTGAAAGTTACCACTGCTTGCATCTAAAAAGTAACTACTACTTGGCGTGCTGGGGTTTTTAATGTCTTTAGTTTGCAAACTCTAGCTTCCTCTTAGTTCTTGTTGTATTATCTTGCCTTGAAAAGGTGATTGTGCTCAAAGACGTCACAAACAGCTAAGTCTTCAAAAGCTTGTACTGGGTATGAAAAGCTAATGGACAAAATGGCTCTTAAACTCATCTGTGGAAGACCTTGATTTATCTCCTCTGCAAAAAGAAGGAAAAACTGTGCCCTAGGAATGGAGTGTGTTTGAGACGTGCCTCCTACGAGCTCTTTCTGTGGTTTAGAATGACTGGGGCATGTGTACATGTTGGTAGATATGTCTCACAAGCCAGTAAATACTGTGCTGGAGTCCCTGTTGCTGTATCAGAAGTAGCATATCTCAGTGATGCAAAGCACTAGACCTGTACAAACTGATCCTCGTGGTTCAGGAAATGAAATACGAGGAGAAAACTTAAATCCAAATGATTTTTTTTTTGCAGGTTTTGATACTTTAAACTTAGATTGCATTCTGACTAGACTTTCAACTGCTCACTCACAGCCTTTTTACATTTCCTCTTTTCTTTCTTTGTTCTGCCCATAGCAAAAAAAATATGTTCCTACATGTCATCACCCTTCTTTAAATGCACTTTCACTTGGTAGCTCTGGATTTGAATTTTTTTTTTCTGCCTCAGCTGTCGGTATGAGAACTTTGTCTTAGATCTGCTCTTGCACTGGACCTTTACTTACTCAGTATTCCCTTTGGGAACTCGCATCTTACCTACTCTGAGTGATAGTGATTGAATTCACATCTCCTTCCTGATACTAAATTTCTAAGGAAAGGGAGTCAGACATTTTGGGGATTTAAAAACCTGAATGGTATCAGATGGTGATTTTATACAGCAAGTTGTGACATTTGTACAGCCTCAGGTTTAGCTGCTGTCTGTATGATTCAGACTAATCCTTTTTCCTCCAGGACTGGAAATAAGGAGAATTCAAATGGTTTCCTCAGCTGTGGTAGGTTTATGGAGGGGGATTGTATTTAGTTCCCTAAACACGGGCCTGCTTTGGGGATCACAAAACCGAGGGGATTCAGGCTAATTTTTCCTCCAGAACAGGAACAAGGCAAGTTCCAGAAGGAGCCAGTGTTCCTACAACTGATTTGGCAATTGATTTGTTTGATCCTAAGAGCAGCATGTCTTTCATGGAATTCAGTCTCCAGAGCCTTGCTTATCCCTGTTGTAACTACCGGCTTCACAGGAGTTATGTTGGGATGGACTGATCATGTACCATACTTGGTTTTAGTAGATACTTCAGTCAATGACCCTGTTTCTTTCTTCCAGTCTCGCTGCCAAGAAAGAGAGCGTTCATTGTGGTCTCCAGCATTTGCTGTTCCTCTGTTTTTGACTGACTGTGATCAGAAGGAAAATACGGCACTAGACAACGATACTGTTGGTACTTACAGGCAGCCAGCAGCGTACAGGGTCCAAAGAGAAATGCAGACTGAGGAGCACTTCCAAGCATACTTTGAAAGAAAACTGTCCTCCACCTTGGGGGGAGCACTACAGATCCCTCGAGAGAACAGACGGCTACAGTGCAGGTGAGTTCTGTGCCAGGAATTTATCAGGTGTAAAGAAACTAAGGAGACTCTTCAAGCCCAAGTGTAAAAAAGGTGCTAACTTTTCCACAGCTGGTAATTAAAATGCTGAACCGCGCTGATTGATAACCAAAGCAGAACACCCGGTTACAGCAACTCGCACCTGAAGCGTGCAAGATCAGCTTAGCGCTGCACTACCGAAGTTGCTATTTGCAATCTGCAAAAGTGTCTGTTCACTTCAGGACTGTGATAGTGTGAGGGATATATGCACTGTAAAGAGAAACTGCCAACAGTTGTAGTTCCCTCCAGTGCTTCCCTCAGCCCAGCTGTCAGACACAAGCTTTCATTTGCTTTTTTCTGATTTGTGCCTTTTGATACTTTTATTTCTTAAATTTCAAGAGCCTTTTTCTGTTCCCTCTTAGCTGGGGACATGGAAAGTTGCATAATGGTACGACTGAGATTGACTGAACTGCTTTGGCATTATTTTGGAGCTATGTTCCTGCGTTCTTTGAGGAGAATGGGTGAGGCTAGGGTACTGATAAAGCATTACTCCTTCCACAGCCTCATTTTCCCATCTGCCAAAATTCTCTTTTGGGCATTATACTGGCAGTAGAAGCATCTCTCCTGCCAAAGGAACCCTGCAGGCTGCAGGCTCACCAGAAGGCAGTCTTTGTTGGCAGCATAGGAGAATTCCTGATGTTCTTCCAGCAAGGCAAATATAATAAAAAATAGGAAGCCTGTTCATCAGCTTCCCTTTTAGTTTTGTTTGACTATAAATACTCTCAGTTTTCTTTCTGAATCTCTTTTTGGATGCAGAGTGGACTGTCAATGGTTATGGCTGTGTCTACTCTACAAAGTCCTCCTAAGAAAGTAAATACAGAATCTCTGATTCATCATTTATCTGGGCTTTGTTTCAGCACGTATACTGAATGTATACTGAAACTTAAACTGTTGTTTTGAGACCATGGCAGGACTTGAGACTCAAGTCTAGCTATGGGTGAGGTTCCACAAGGTGTGGTGAGCTAATCTAACAGCTTGCTGCTGCCAGAAGGGTCAGGGCCACACAGGGAAAGGAAAGTAGGGGAGCCAGACCTCTCTCTTTCTGTATAACTAGCTCTTACATCAGCTCAGCTATGTGTGGAACTGCAGCCTAAAACTATGGGTCTAACTTAACGTTGCTGTAAAGTAATTTCCTGGTGATAAGTGAAGGCAAATGGAGACATAGTTTGAGTTGCTATTGTGTTTTCTAGTTTTCATTCACCATGAAGATTTGTCATCAAGATTAATTTCTGTAATAGTGAGATCCTTTAGATTGTGCAATAGCCTTCTGTTCCAGTGCTGTCTTTTTATATGTTAAAAAAAAAAAGTAAGAAGGAGATTGGATGAAGTTCTGGAGTCAGAGAAACAAAATTACTTGATGGAAAGGGTTGAATTGTGTATGATTATGACATGTGATCTGAAGTTAACAGTCTGTCCACCCAGAAACACCTGGTGCAATAAAGTAAGTCTTGCCCAGAGATCAAAGGGAGAATTTTGCTCTAAAGTCATAGCTAATGTTATTGGAAACTTTATCATTGCACTTAATGCTTAATAAGAAAATCTCTTTATTCCCTCCCCCAACTCGTCGTTTAAGAACCGTGTCTGCCTTGCTTCCTCATACTCTTTTCCCTGTTTCTTT